ATGTGCACAAGAGATGAGATCTCACAGGAAAGCCTGAGTCGAACAAATGAGACTACCCTGAAACTGAAATAAAAGTTTAATTAGTTTGATTCTTTTTTTGTCTGATTGTGTTAAAATTTCTTCAAAGTAATGTTTAGTTTGAATTTGGTGCTAAATAAACAAAACTAAAACGAGTTGTAAGTCAAGTTGCTGAAAAACACTAAAGAAGATCCGCGGAGCTCCACAGGGTTCTGTCCTCAGTCCTCTACTTTTTAAGATTCATTTTTATTTATGCTGTGATCACAAGTTAAACATGGCCTCAAACTCATCAATTCTCTGTCTCGTATTTCCTTTGCGAATCTTCTTGTAGGACACCGTTTTATATTTGGAACGGTCGCTGCTTTTCTTCTCATCATTGTCCTCATCAGCCTCATCGTTTGTCTTCAGGGAGTTTTGATCTACGTCTTTGTTTCCTTTGCCATTTGTGACTTCCTGTCTTCTTTCCTCCATGGACTCCTGAACGTTGCTTTCCATCAGTCTGACCTTTTCTCTTCGTTCAGCAGCCCAGTACCTGCAGTTCAGGAAACATAAATACCTTCTGTGACTTGTTTTGAACATATTGAAGCCAGCTCGTAATGACCTTCTTTAACTGAAGGTGTCGCCCTTTCACTCAGGAATAAAACTACAGAATTTCAGGTAAAATGTAGATAAAGATTATTTACCTTCAGATGAAATTTCTGTGATGTTTCAGCCCGACGTCTCCTGCCTCTGATGGAGCTTTGCTTCCAGTAACTGGCTGTTGGGTTTAATGGAGCCTGTTTTGGCAGGAAGTCCGTGTCCTCCCAGTCTTTGTTGCTGCTCGCTGGTCTGGGATAAACGTTCCCACAGTGGTGGGGTCTGGCAGACACTCAGTCTGGCCCTTCTTCTATTTTCTGGGGTCTACTTCCCACTTTTCTATTCTAATTCATGACCCTTTTTTCAAATGTATTCATATTCTCTACATGATTTCATTTATTCCTTATTTTCTTTTTTGATCTAGTCTCTTTTCTTCAACCCCTCCCCCTTGTTCATGATAATCTCTTCCTCCTGACTCATCTCTTACTCCTATTTCCTATTTTTCTGGGTAACTGTGCCACATTTTTCCCTAAGTTTTTCCGTGGTTCTTCCTTCACCTGCGAAGATGGTCACCTTTCTTCCTCCTCCTCCTCATCATCATCCTCTCTTCCTCATACCTTTCTCTTTCCTCCTTTCCTGGCCTGACCCTGGATTCTTGCTTCCCTGAGCAAAGCGGACCTTTGCCAATTGAATGAGTATTTTTTACTCTTAGATAGATAGATAATATGCACTTAAAATAAGACAATGCAATTGTGTTTTCTTATTTTAAGTGTAAATTATCTTGTTCCATTGGCAAAACGTCTCTTTTATAACCCCGATTCAAGAAAAATGCACTTTTTTAAAAGAAAAAATTACTAATCTAGACTTCCATTTTTTCCAGTGTGAAACAGATTATAATAAAATATGTCTCCGGACCTTTACTGGTTCTTGATTTTATTTATTGTGAACTCACTGATTTTTAATTGGTTACCCCTGCTTTATAGTCTGTTGTTGTTTTAATGCACAATTATTACATATTGCAGATTCTATTAAACCTACCAAAGTACATGTTTCATCTGATATGAGTGGACAGTCGATAAATACTTTTCTGTCGTTAGAAACTTTCATTGCTGCTGAAAACACCTGAATTTGAACTATTTTATTCTATTCTATTCAGCTTCACAATCAGAGATAGATCTCAGTTGGATTTAAGTTTTTGCGTTTAAAGACAAACATGCTTTAATTCTCACACATAATCGACACCAGATCTGCTGTTCATCCTGAAAACACTCAGTGAGCTTCAAACACATTTAATTCTACCCCTTTGAATCTGATTAGATAATTCCACACTCAGATCTGAAATATTAGGTCCTCAGCAGCCACTAGATGGCGGTGTTGTCTTAGAAAATCAGTTGAGTGGTTCCCTGAACTGAAGTCAGACAATTGGAATTATGAACTATTCAGAGAAATTAATGGATTTTTTAAGCAGTTTGATTTATATATATTAAAAAGCTTTAACATGAGAGACACCAGCTGTTTGTTAAGTGCCTGTCCTCTCTGTGGTGATGTTATTGTCATCAAAGGATTGATCATTCATGCAAACTACAGAGGAAAAGTGAACTAAGCCTTAATTTTTGAATAAGCTCCTTTCTGTGAACTGGACTATTGTTCAGGTTTTTATGTAAACCGGAGCAACAGTTCTTCAAATTTTTTGAAGATTTGTATTTTTTATGTAATAGAACTACAAACTTCTAGTGTTTTATTGAGGTTTTCCTGAAGGAGAAAGAAAAAAAAAACTTTGGTTTTAAGTTATAAAATAGTTTGCTACAGTCTTTTGGGTTTAGAGACAACTTTTTCACTTTAGTTTGGAAAAGTAAAATTTGTCTGTAATAAAAAAAATGCAAGAAAATCTTTTTGAGAACATTTATTAAAATTACAGCAGTAAAAACTAAAGAAAACCTTTTATCAGTAGTTTCATCTTTTTGTAGTAAATTATCCACTTTTTTCACTCTGGTGCAACAAAAAAGAAAATGCTTTATCTAATAATAATATGGATGAAATTGTTTTATAATATAGATAAATGTGTCTTCAATAATCTATCCTTCTTTGATCCAGACTTTCTTTAAAATTATATTTTCCCTTTGCTTTGAAATTACAATTAGAATAGAGGAAAATAAAACCTATGTTGAGATACCTAAATGTGGCCAGTAGATGGTGACAGTGCAGACATTTAAAACATTCAAACTTTTTAAACCAAAGAGAGAAAACGAGTCCAATACCTTTGAATTATTCCAGAGCATCCTTCTATTGGTGACAGAAACGCCAAACAGTTTATTTTGTCACAAAGTTTTGAAATTAAATCTCTCATTCTTGATCTCCTAACACTCTGCGCTGGGACTTTGCGTCCTGCTGTGCCTTCCATGCTGCCAGGACCTCGTCGTCCTCAGCCTCCGCTGCAGCCCGAGCCCTGATCCTTTGTCTAGTTTGAGCGATAAATGTTGCAACATCATCTTCCTCATCTTCGCTACCCTCCTCTTGCCTTCGTCTTCTTCCTTCAGTCTCGCTGCTGGCGTATCGTGAATGATGGACGAATCTCCTGTTGGATGAAAAGCTCTGTGTTCCCTCTTCGCTCTCCTCATAAGCTCCATAAGATCGGCCTCCTCGGCTGTAGCTGTGGGATTGGGTTAACCCGTTGCAGGAGTAGCCTGTATCTTCCCTTGATTGATTTTCTTGGAACCTGGACTGATATCTGGATATTGAGCCATATGTCTCCTCCTCGTCTTCTTCAACAGAACATGAGCCTCTGTGACTCGAGAAGTCAAATTCGGAAGCAGAGGCTTCGAGATCATCGTACGGATCCTGAGACGAATCAGCTTCTGCAGCGGAGGATAATGTCTTTGGGGGAGGTCTTACACTTTTCAGCCAGTCGTCAACACTTGTATTCCTGTCTTTTTCTAAAGCTGGGTTTAGATTAAGGCAGCCAGAAAGGCCAAAACTTCTTTTTGGTTTCTCTTTTTTCGTTGTTTCTTCAAGAAACTCCTCCTCCTTCCTCTTTCTTTCCTGTTCCTCGTCTTCGTCTTCCTTTGCTTTCTTTTTCTTGTACAGAGTGCTGCGTCTGTTGTCCTCCAGGATCTTTTTCTTCTCGTAGGTTTCCATTTTATCCCTCATTTCAGATTTAATCTCTTTATCAATGGCGTCCAGTTTTCCCAGGTTGACTTGGTCTTGAAAGAGGCTGAAAAGAGGAACGCTGGTGGTGGTGATCTTGTTTTTCTTGGAGCCAAGAGTGGAGCCTAAGTCTGTTCCCAGAGTTGAGCGTCGTCCAGTCAGGCCGGAGATGCTACTCGACCCATCGCCTGTGAGGACAGAAGTTGCTCTGCCCCGATCCTTTGAAAGAGTGCTAGAGTACGACGCTCCGCTGATCAAAGATGCCTTGTCATCCTCCACGGCACGGCCTGCCAGAATGCTAGCCGCTCCGCCAAAGCTAAGCTCAGATCCAGCCCTTGACGGAGGAGGCAGACTCATCTCGCTTTGCTTCTGCTTGATTGTTTCAGTCACAACATTAGCAATCCAGTTCTGTATGCTAGCGAGATTGACCATCGGCTCCCCTCCGGGCCCTTGGACAGTCGGAACAGGGAGGATTGGTGGTACCGCTTGAACGGCGGACTGAGTGGACCTTGTACTTCGAGGCTGCGAAACAGAGGATATGACGGACGATCTGCCACTCAGCATGGACATATTGTCGTCACTGGCGGCGTTCTGTGGTCCTGTGACCCCCGCGCCAGCCCAGAAAGCAGACAGAGGTATGGTACCGCCACTGACGCAGCTTTCTGTCTCCCAACCACAAACCGACTGGCTTTCTTCCAAAGTTTTCTTGGAACGCTCCAGAATCTCCTCGCGTCTTTGCCGTCGTTTGATGGTAGCAGAGTCCTCACCCCGGCTAAGCTCCAGAATTTCCTCCGTGTTTTCCTCCCCGAGACGTTTCTGCTGCCGCAGCTTCCACGCTTGGTACGCTGTCAGGTTGACGTCCTGGAAAGACGGAGTCTTAGGTTCCGTCTTAGATTCCTCGTCTCCACCGGCTACTGAGCTTTTCTCTCCATCCTCTCTGTCCTTTTTGTTCCAGCCAAACTGGATCCTCTTGACACGCCACCGCTCCAAAGGTGTCATCTTTTCCTTATTCTTCCGGCAAAAATTGTACATGGAACTTGTGTCTGAGAGGATGCTGTCAATTTCATCATCAATGTTCTTGTTTCCTCCTTCTGTAGCTGCGCTCTCGCTGCCTTCGTCGTCCTCTGTTTTGCGATAGCGAGCTGCTGCTTGTTCCTCAATCTCTTTCAAACGCTGCTTCCAAAGATCAGAGTAACTCGTGACGCTGGAGGTGGACATTGTGTCCGAAGACGCTCTCTTATTTCTGTACTTTAATCTCTCTTTAACGGCTCTTATGTCCTCACTGGTGACACTCTCCCCATCATTGTCTTCTTGCCTCGTCTTCTTTGGACGTCCGCCCGTGAGAGAGTCCCCGTCCTCCTCCTCGCCGTTAAGCTGGGCCTCCCACCACTCATCGCTCTGGTACTTTTCATTTCTGCGCTGCCACTCGCGGATCATGCTGTCCAAGCCATCGTCATCATCGTGACCTCCGTCTCCCCCAGCAGTCTGATCGGGCAGGACTATTTCCTTTTGAGCCAATTCCTGGCTCTGAATGCCATTCGGGATCATCCCGCTCCGAAGTGCCGCAGCGGCCGCAGATGAAGCGACGCTGCTCATCACACTCTCTCCGTCCTCCTCCTCCTCCATCATGATGGACTGAGCTTTAACCTCCACCATGCTTTGCTCGTCCTCTTTATCCGTCTCATCGTCGTCGTCTCCTTCGTCTTCGCCAAAGATCCGGGCGCGGGTCCGGGCGTCGATCACGGAGCACTGGCTGAGCGTTTCGTCATCGTCGTCGCGTTCCTCCATCAGGTTCTCATTGAACTCTCGCAGCTGCTTCAGGAAGCCTTCGTTTGGGTTGATGGGTCGTTTTTTCCGTATGGCAGTTAGAGCTTCCATGATGGTCATGTTCTGGAAGATCATCAGGTAGGAGGCTACCAGAATGGCAGGCCGACTGATGCCCATCATGGAAACAACCAGAACTTTTCCTGCAAGGCAAAACATTGTTCAAGTAAATCAGAGCCTTTAAAGTCAGTGAATCATTTAGTTGTGAATCAACAAGCATGATGGAAGAAATAAAGAAACCTTTGAAATGTATAGACCTTAGCTAATTTGGGACTTTTTTTTTCCTGAGGTGGCCCCCATGATTAACCACACTGGACATCATCATCGTTTTCCAGGAACTCTGACCTACAGGCTCATAAAACGTTCTAAGAAAGCACATTATTGATAAAAGGATAACTTATTCCGGATGTCTTTTGCGCATCAATGATGATTGCCTCTCAGGGAAACACACAGTTAAGATTCTGCTTTCAGCTGAATATAATGAAACCATTGCTTTGCATTTTGTCCTTGGGCTAAAAGCAAGATGAATGAATAAATAAAAACCCATTGCCAACCTCAAAATCCCCACAAAAATCCCACTGCAAACCCAAACATCTTCAAGAGTTTATTTAATGACTGGATTCTAGGAATGAGGGAAATGTTGGGAAATGGTTGATTACAAAATTATCATTTGGAAATCTTTATACAAACAGCCTCTTTGTCCAATTATGAAACAAACTACTGTCTTTTTTGCTGGGTTCTGTTATGTGTTTTTTTTTATTTTTCATTTAGAAATCTATGAATACGTACTTCAGTGTGCAGAGGCTGAAGTAAAGAAAATTGTTATGAAAGACATTTTAAAAGAGATGTAAATAACTGGAGGAGGCCATCAAAGTACAAAAAGAAAGTGTTTAGTAACATTGAGAATGAAAAGCATTTATCTTCTTTTAAATGAAAAAAGGCTGTCAGACAAACATGACACGTTGATCCTAATGGAACATTACCTTGAGAAACGTCTCAGTGGTTTTAGTCTATAGCTCCATAACTTGAGTTTGTATGAAATGTTAATTACATGGTATAAAATAAATCCCTTGAACATTTTTTGCATTTTGTTACTCTACTGTCAAAAATGTCAATCTACTTTGTTTCGATTTTATGTGACCGACCAACAGACATTAGTATAAAGCACCTTGATTATCACCAGCCCTGTTTGCTGTTTGTTCTGAATTAAACATGTATATAAATGTACTCTTTATCAGACGATATTGTCCCAAAATTTAGAAAATGTATATTTAAAAAGAATCTTGTCTTAAAATCTGTTTTTTTTTTTCG